AGATAGATAGATAGATAGATAGATAGATAGATAGATAGATAGATAGATACCAATAGAAAAGAATATTTGTATCTCAGGATTGAACTGTAGAGTCCTTGGTGTCCTCTGATCTTGGTGGTTGTCTTGCAGATGTTTCATGACCTAGCTAGGTAATGTCATCAGAGATAGAAGGAATGGAGTGGGGGAAAAGGAGGAGGAGGAGGAGGAGAAGGAGGAGGAAGGAAGAGGAGAACTGTGGGGTCCTTGGTATTGTCTAAGCTGGGTTTTCTTGCCGATGTTTCATTACCCAACTAGTTATTACAAGACAAACCAAACCGTGAACTACCACCTAATGGTGGAACTGCCAAGGAGAAAACAACACTCCCACTAAAAGAACAAGCCACTGATATCTAAACAGAGAGAATACAATCCCGCTTCCTTCTAGCCCTGATGACGTTACCTAGTTGGGTCATGAAATGTCTTCAAGAAAATCGCCAAGCTCAGAGAGCACCGAGGACCCCACAGCTGAACCCTGAGCTATACATCTTCTCTCCCGCTGGTTCTTTGGATCTGGTTCCGTTTAAGCCCCTGCTGGGCCAGGAATGGCCACTGTCCCAATCACGGGGCCTCACCTGCAACTGCCAGACGCTCTGGCTGTACTTGGAGACGTCGGTGACCGTTTCACTCATCAAAGCAATCAGCATGTTGAGCAAGAGGATGTAGGTCAAGATGACAAAGAGCAGCACCAACAGCATCGCAGTGTAGCTGTGCTTCAAGTTCTCGTTGTACTCCAGGTCCCCCATGCCGATGGTGAACCTGAACAGCAGCAGAGCCGTCCGAAGCAGCCCCGAATACACGGCCCGGTCTTCAGAGTCGTCGCTGAGTGGGACGGACGTATTGCGGGCGGAGTGGGGAGCGTCCCCGGTGAGGAGAATGAGAGCTGCAAGAAGCCATTGAAATTTCAATTGTTTCTCTGAAAACTTTGGGAGGGAACCTTCTCACTTTGAAGGACACGAGACCCAAAGTATCTTTGGTTGATCTTTGGGGGCATCGTTAGTTGTTCCCCTGGTCTTATCGTTCGAGTTTTGTTTGCACTAAGATACCACTAAGAAATATGGACTTAGTCTGCACATAGAATATCTAAAAGGCTGTTTTGACATCTTGTGGCTGTTGGTGGGTGTGGAGAAGAAAAGCCAGGTGCTAATTGTGTGTGATGTATGGAAGGACAGACCAGGTGATCTCTGGTTTCTGATCTCATTCTTTATGTGTCCTTCACGCTGAGTCTTTCGCTCATTGATTCATGGATTCCTTCACTCAGCCATCCATTCATTTTATTCACTCATTCACACTCGTCCACACTCATTCATCCACTCACTCACTCACTCACTCACTCACTCACTCACTCTTTCACTCACCCATTCATCCTCCCCTTCATTTGTCCACTCATTCACTCACTCATTCATCCTCTTTCATTCACTCACTCATTAATTCATTTAGTTCATTCACTCACTCATTCATTAATTCATTCATTCATCCTCTTTCATTCGTTCATTTTGTTCACTCATTCACACTCATTCATCCACCCATTAACTTACTCAGTCTCTTTCACACCCATTCATCCATTCATTCATCCATTCACTCATTAATTCATTTAGTTATTCTTTCATTCATTCATTTTGTTCACTCATTCATCCACTCATTCGGTCACTCTTTAACACACCCATTCATCCTCCCATTCATTCATTCACTCATTCATCCTCTCATTCAATTGCTCACTCCTTTATTCATTTTGTTCTCTCATTCACTCATTCATCCACTCCTTCACTCACTCACCCTTTCCTCACTCATTCATCCTCTCTTCATTTGCTCACTCATTTATTCATTTATTTTGTTCGCTCATCCATTCATCCACTCATTCATCCAGTCGTTCACCCACTCATTTATCCACTCACTCATTCATCCACTCACTCATTTATTCACACTCATTCACCCTCTCATTCATTCATTCATTCATTCACTCTCTCATTCATGCATTCCATTTCTATGGCCACCCATATTTCAATTTTCCACCTGGATTCAGTTGATGACACTTCTGTCTTCTCAAAACTGAAATCTCCTCATCTTCTCCCCTCCTCCCCCCAAATTAAGGTACACCTGCCACAGAAAATCTTTCCTAATATAAATTCCAGTCCAGCATCACTCTCTTTCTAATTTACATAACGATCATTTGCGATCATATTAAAAGCAACTGCATCCTCTTCGCTGAGGATGTAAAGCTATTTAACACCGCCGACAATACTGCTGCCCTACAAAGCGACCTCGACTATGTGTCAGAATGGTCAAACAATTGGCAACTTCAAATCTCAACCGACAAATGCTCTGTCTTACACATTAGCAGCAAAAATCAGAACGCTCAATACAAACTGGGAGGATACGACCTTGTGGACGGCCCTCACTCTGTCAAGGACCTAGGGGTACTCATTTCAAAAGATCTAAGCTGGGGTAGCATTCAAAAATCCCAGCAACCAGTTCAGGGTTTCCTGTTTCAGGGATGTCCAACCTTTCTCAACTTTAAGACTTGTTTAAACATCCACTGTGGTGCGTCGGAACTTGGAGTGACCGTCATAACCCACCTCACAGGATTGTTGTCAGGGAAAATGAAAGGCAGGAGTTTTTAGGCCCGTTTGCCCCCTTTTGAGTTGACCAGATAGAATAAAAATACACAACAAGTGAAGCAGCAGGACCAGAGAGGCACCTGGTGGAAACCTTGAGGTGGGCGTCAGGGAATCCGTGGGGTGGACAAAGGGCAGATGACACTCGGTTAAACAGTTGCTGATCCCCACAGGAGGAGGAGGAGGACTATCTGGGGCTGGCTGCATGGAGGATGTACAAGAAGAAGGAGGAGTCGCCTCCTTCATACTTAATGGCAGCTTTCCAAGTTTCCACAATGTGCTGGATTCTCGTTAGGAATATAAGTCGCCAAACAGGTATTTGGGTTAGAAATATATAAACCAGGATAAACATTTTAAAACTGTATCTTTAAGAAAATGCAAAACTGTAATTAGGTGTGGTTTCTCAAACGGCCATAAAATGGAGCCAGGAACCTGGTTTGTCTTGGCCTTAGTCTCAGAAGAGAGTGTGAGTGTATCTCTGTTTCCTTCTGTTGGAAAGTATTGCCGTTGCTCCATTTCTTCTAATTGACTGATATGACTGGATTTTAATGTAAGTCTGATACTGAACTGTTTTTGACACTGGAATTTGATATTTGGATTATCCCTGGATTGAAAACTGAGTGATTTAACTTGTGAATGATTTTGGATTGCTTATTTTGGACTTTGCTTTAAACCTTTCTGGAAGTAAAAACCTACATTTACTGTACAGTGTATCTGTAACCTACATTTACTGTACAGTACACTGTACTGTACTGTACAGTGTATCTTTGCGCTGTGTATGTGTATTATTCAAACACTCCTCTCAAATACGTCTCCCTGTATGCGCTCATTCTCCTAACGGGGAATTGCCTCAACGGTTATCGTCTCATGACACCCTAGACCGGGGTCTCAAACTCGCGGCCCACAGGCCAATTGCGGCCCGCAGGACGATATCCTATGGCCCCGCCGTGATATGAAAGTATAATATTAGTGCGGCCCGCAGGGGAAACGGACCTCTGAAGGAAGTCCCGCCCGCCGTTCCTCGTCGTGGCTTCTTCTCCACCCTGAACTTTAACAAGTCCAAGTACAGGTCCGGACTTACTGATGATCATCTTCAAGCCATAACTGAGGGTCTCAAGTGCCTCCTCTCTCAAGCCAAATGTGGCTCAGATATGTGAGAGGAAGCCTTGTCAAGTCTCTGGCAGCAAAGGAGTAAGCTGGAGAAGCCACGTTCTGAGGAACTGTTCATGACCTTCATTCAATGTTCCATTCATGTGTTCAGGACGGTTCATGTATTGGAGAAATCATTAACTGTTGATGACATTTGAGGATATTTTTTTAACAACGTTTTTTGTGGAATCCCTTATGCGGCCCAGCCTCACCCAGCCTCTGCCTCCAGCGGGCCCCAGGTAAATTGAGTTTGAGACCCCTGCCCTAGAAGCTGTGGGTCTTAAGTTGATTTATCGAACAATTGCATGTATTTTCCATCTGCCAAAACGGCTGGTGAACAAAATAAAAACATTAAAAAACCATCATTTGAAACACACACACACACACACAAAGAACTTCCTGTTTCCAGTTTCCGGTGGGCCTCCGGAGGGTGAAAACAGCCTCCCTCAGGCCCCGAAGGCTCACGGGAAGCCGCAAACAGGCCTGTTTCCTGACTTCTGGTACTTCCGTGAGGGCCGTTTTTCACCCTCCCAAGGGTCCAGAGGCCTCTTCACTTGGCTTAATTTAACTTGGCTGTGCTCACCTGTGCCTCCCCTTACCAGGACACTCACCTGTTGCAAAGCCCACCAGGAGGATCACATAGAGCATCAGGAAATGCCAAAGGTCCTTCAAGATGACCTGGAACGAAAACGAGAAGCAATGTGTAGATTGTGCTGACTTTCAAACTCAGCACCTAACAATGGGCCCTTCTCCAAAAGCACGAATTTCAATGTGGAGGAAAGCAAGGCTGTCATACCTGGGCAGGAAAAAAACCAAAGGTACAAGTACAGATTAGGCAAAACCTGGATCAAAAAACAATAACGGTGAGAGGGACCTTGGAGTCCTAGTGGACAATCACTTAAAGCCAAGACAGCCATGTGCGGCAGCAGCCAAAAAGCTAATCCAATTCTTGGTTGTCTAAACACGCACAAAATCAAAATCATGTGAAGTATTAGCACCGCTTTATAAAGCCTTAGTAAGGTCACACCTGGAATCCTGCATCCAGTTTGGGTCCCCATGTTACAAAATGGATGCTGAGACTTTGGGAAAAGTGCAGAGAAGAGCAACTAAAACAATTAAAGGCCCAGAGACAAAAACATATGAAGAACAGTTGCAGGATTTGGGTCTGGCCAGTCTAGAGATAAGAAGGACTAGGGTTGACATGATAAGCAGTCTTCCAATATCTCAGGGGTTGCCCCCAAAGAAGAGGGAGTCAAGCTGCTCTCCAAAGCCCCTGAAAGGCAGGACAAGAAGCAACGGATGGAAACTAACCAAGGAGAGAAGCAACCTGGAAATAAGGAGGAATTTCCTGAAAGTGAGAACAATTAACCAGTGGAACAACTTGCCACCAGAAGTTGTGAGTTCTCCAACACTGGAGATTTTTAAGAAGAGATTGGAGAAAATTTTGTCTGAAATGTTACAGGGTTTCCTGCCTGAGCAGGGGGTTGGACTAGAAGACCTCCAATGCCCCTTCCAGCTCTATTCTGATTGGACTTTATCTGCCCCCACCCTGTGGAATATCCTCCCCTGGAGGTGAGACAGGCCTCCTCACTCTCCTGGCTTTGTGAAAACTGCTAAATTAGGGCAACCTGTACTTGATCAGCTGAATTTAGATTCGGGGCTGCCCTGTGAAATCAGAGGTATTCCAATATAGGTAGTCCTCGACTTAGGACCACAATTGAGCCCAACATTTCTGTGGCTAAGCAAGACTGTTGTTCAGTCAGTTCTGCCTCATTTTACGACCCCTCTTGCCACCGTTGTTAAGTGAATCACTGCATTTGTTAAATTAGTAATGTGGTTGTTAAAATAATCTGGCTTCCCCCTTGAATCGGTTTGTCAAAACTTCACAAAAAAGAGGATCACGTGACTCAAGGATACGTCAACCTGTCATAAATACGAGTTGGTTGCCAAGCGTCTGAATTTTGATCATGTCGCCATGGGGATGCTGCAACAGTCGCAAGTATGAAAAATGGTTGTAAGTCCCTTTTTTCCAGCACCGTTGTAACTTTGAACGGTCACTAAACGAACTGTTATAAGTTGAAGATACCAGAATTTGCAAACGGAAATGATCTGGTTTCATGACCTAACCTTCTGGATCATCACGAGGCAGATTCCTGTCTGCTGGCAACCGCGGGTATAGTAGAGCATGTTCATCCAGCCCAAAAGCAAGGCGAACACCATGGGCAGCACGTATTTTTCCGTGTTTGCAAAGAACATCACGGACGAGGCCAGGATGGCGAGGGCCTGCACAAACCTGGAAGGGCCAGAGAGAGAAACAGAGAAGCAGCGATCATTTGGGAGGACGTAAGGTGGCTGTCAGGGTTCCGACGATTGCCCTAATTAAATCATGAGTCTTGAAGCCAAGCTTCAAAAGAATTCAAAAGAATTATTAGGAGCAACATGTCCGGCACTAACCTGTATGAAGCCAACTCTGAGACATGTAATTTATTATCATCTATGACCCTGTTTTTCCCCCCCACTCCCCCTGGGTGTGTTATATATCAGATTCTCCAACGAAACAGGTTCACAGGATGGGTGTCATCAATCGCGCTCTCCAATGAAAGATTTTCAAGGGCAGAAGATCCAGTAGCCTAGGTTACAATCTCCACAAGATAAGCATGGAATGCAGGGGTGGTATTCAGCCGGTTCGTACCGGTTCACACGAACCGGTAGCAAGGATTTGGCATGGGTCGCCGAACCAATAGTCACTTCTGGCTGACCATGCCCTCAACCCGGTCGCCCGGTTGCTGCTCGCTCGCTTGCCCAAACGCCCAATACTTGCTCACCCAACCCTGCCTGCCTGACGCTCCCCCGCCAAGTTACTCCTTAAGGTATTTTTTTTTTCCCTCCCAACAATCAGCTTTTCCTAAGATCAGCAGTGCCAGGATTCCCTTTGTTTACTTACTGCTTCATCCAGGAAGCTTCCCTGAGGCCCAGGAAAGGCAAAAAATGGAGGGGCCCCAGGGAGGCCCCAAAACGAAGTGTGTGTGTGTGGGTGCTGCGTGGCCCCCCCATACTTCATTTTCTGCCTTCTTGAGCCCAAGGGAAGCCCCCAGGGAGCAAAAACGTCCCCCCTCAGAGGGTTCTCTGAAGCCCAGAAGGCCCAAAAAAGGAAGGAGGGGTGCTGCAAAAAGCAAAAAAAAAAAGAAAAAGCCCCACACCCACTCAGTCACACGGCCATACCCTCTACCTACACCCCCTAGCCACGGCCACAGAACCAGTAGTAAAAAATTTTTGTATACAACCACTGATGGAACGTGCTTCTGGCCTTCACCTGCTACACTGCTCCCTCAGGCCTTTTCCTCGTCCTTCTAATATCAACTCGGGAACGGGCATAGGAAATGAGTTATGAGTTGACAGTGGGAAAGACCACGACAGAGGAAGCGATGCTGTTTTTAGGGCATGTTCCGATAAGAGAAGGCAGAGCCCACAGCTGAATAACGGGGCAGAGAAAGAAACCCAGAAAAGATCCCCTTTGGTTTCTCAGGCTATCAAAGAGACAGTGGGAGATTTGTATTTTCAGCTCTGCAAGATGATGTTAATCTAGCTGTACAGTAAAATAAAAATGATCTCATCTGGTTGCTTTTTCTGGCTGGTTTGCCAGAGACATGAAAGCCGGCTGGGTAACCTTGGGCCAATCATCAGGAGACAATGTGTTCTAGTCCTGCCTTAGACATGAAATTCGGTGGGTGATTTTGGGCCAATCAAAAGGAGATGGTGAGTTCTAGTCCTACCTCAGCCAAGAAAGCCAACTGGGTGACTTTGAATCAACCACAAAGAGCCAGTGAGTTCTAGTCCTATATCAGGCATGAAAGTCGACTAGGTGACTTTGGGCCAATCACCAGGAGATGGAGAATTCCAGTCCTGTCTTGGACCTGGAATCGGAGGGTGCTTTGGGGCCAAACACTAGGAGGTGGTGAGTTCTAGTCCTACCTCAGCCACAAAAGCAAACAAGTGGCGTTTTCATCGATACTTCCAACAAAAGGCCAATATCCAATGAGTAGTGGAAATAACCAGTGGAACATCTTGCCACCAGAAGTTGCAGGTGCTCCATGACTAGAGGTTTTTAAGAAAAGACAGTCCCCCATCTGAAATGGTCTAGGCTAGGGCCTCCTGCTTGAGCAGGGGTGGGACTAGAAGACCTCCAAGGTCCCTTCCAGTTCTAATCTGATAAATTGGTTGATTGAATCCCTCCATAAAAACAGCAACGTATACGCACGTACAGCAATATGTCGAAGCAGCTGTCCATTAGAAGACCTTTCAGAGAGTGGCGTCTTCTCCAGAAGAGAACGCTCTACAAGGGAATAAATAAGAACAGAAATCAGAATGCTGTTGTCATGCTCACATCGGAGCCTGAATCTATGGAGGAAGACGAGCCGGACCTGGAGCCAACAAAAATCGAGTGGGCGACTTCGTTGGCTTGGGAGGAAATGGGCAGGAGTAGGTAGTCAGGCCTGGGCCTTTCAGGATTGGGACAATTTGTAGGCAGGGAGGAAGGTGGGCAGGAGGACCAAGAAAGGCTAAGCAGTGAACATAAGAGACAGAGCTCAGGTGATGAGTAAGGACCACCCACTCCTGATCCGAGAGCATGGAGAGTGGAGAGAAGGCAAGAACAGCGCAGACTACTTGGGAGGAGAGCATCCTGCCCCTCTTCACAAGGCAGACCTGGGAACGGAGACTTAAGGAGATGCTGTAGGGAGGGACATTTCTCAGGAACAAAGGCTGAATTCCTGGAGTGTTGAGTGCCGACGTTTGAACCTTCCTGGATTCCTTGCATTCTTTCTGGATTCCTTGCCTTGCTCCTTTGCTTCCTGGACTCTTCAACTTGCCCTGCTGGATTTCTTATTTTGCATTTGGTTGGACTATTTGCAGCCAGAGGCTGCTTGAGGTGTGTGTGTGTGTGTGTGTGTATGTGGTCACTTTGTTCTGGGACTTGCCAGAAACATGGGAGTGTCTGGGGAAATTTGGACCAATAACGGGGCAGTTTGAACGGCCATCTGCCTGTGTTATCTCTGTGCCGTGCCCCAGGTCATCACAACTGCATTATGACAGAGATGTGGGAAGGGGTGTGCATGACTTAGTGCACACTGGCCAATTGTTCATTTTGTCGAGGACTTGCCTATAAGTGGAGTTGTAAAACGCCCAACGCCATTTTGTAGAAGAAGCAGTGGCTATCATTTGGGACTACAATTTCCATCGCTAAGTAAGGCAGTTGTTAACTGAGTCACTGAGCCCAGTTTTATGACCATTTTTGGCTTGGTGAAGCAACTCGCTTGCCCTCGTTAAGCGAATCATGTGGTTGTTAAGCGAATCAAGCTTCCCCCGGGGATGTTGCTGGGGATGTCGCAAATGGTGATCACATCACACACACACAGGCACACACACCCTGGGATGCTGCAATCATTGTAAGTACACCCTGCGAGCTAAACACCTGCATTTTGATCAGGATTGTCGCAATGGGTTGTAAGTGCGAGGATCCATCGTAGGTCACTTTTTTCAATGCTGTCTTCACTTGGAATGGCTGAAGTAGAGAACCTGTCTATCTGGTGATCGCAGAACAATCTGCCCCTGAATGTCCATAAAACCAAAGAACTGATTATGGACTTCAGGAAACATGGACAGGACCACGCCCCACTCATCATCAACGGAGAACGAGTGGAAACTGTCCCTACGATCAGATTCCTTGACACCCGTATTTCAGCTGATATCTCCTGGTCCCCTAACACCAAGGCTATAGTGAAGAAGGCTCAGCAGCGGCTACACTTCCTGCGGGTTCTCAGGAAGAACAACCTGGATAAGAAGCTGTTGCTGGCTTTCTATAAAGCCTCTGTGGAGAGCACTCTGACGTGTTGTCTGGGTGTGTGGTATGCAGGCTCCACAGTTGAGGACAGGGAAACGGTACAGAGGGTGATAAACAAGTCTCAAAAAATCATTGGTTGCCCTCTGCCCTCCCTGGAAGACTTAGCCAGGTCCCGCTGCCAAAGCAGAATCAAGGCCGTCATAGAAGACCCCTCACACCCTGGCAATTATCTTTTTGACCTGCTGCCGTCTGGACGGCGCTTTAGGTCAATAAAATCCCACACCACTAGACTAACAAATAGTTTCTTTCCCTGGGCCATCCGAACCGCAAATAAAGACGAAGTCATTACCTCATTAAGATGTGAAAAGATGTGAAATCTCAATACCCCATTCAGATGCATAATAACATATTACAGTACAATCCATCTCTTGTGTATTACACTCGGCTAAGCGTTACAATCAGCGTTGGATGTATATTTTGTGTATATTCGTAGATATTGTACTCTCAAATTGCAAATGGAGACGTGGGTACTCTATCTTTCTTATCTTCATTTGGTTTTATTGTATTGCAAACAGTTGCTGGGGTGCATCCACAGTTTCGTTGTACTTGTACAATGACAACAAAGTACTTCTAATCTTCTAATCTAATCTGCTAAACGGATGGTTCTCAGACAAGTTATGACCACCATTGTGCCCCAAATTTCTGTTATTAAGTGAAACATTTCCTTAAGTGAGTTTTGCTCCACTTTACAACGTTTCTTGCCTCGGTTGTTAAGTGAACCCCTGCAGTTGTTAAGTTAGTAACCTGGTCGTTAAGTGAGTCCGGCTTTCCCATTGACTTTGCTTGTCAGAAGTTCGCCAAAGGGGATTATGTGACACTGGGACTCTGCAACCGTCGTAAATATGAGTCCGTTGCCAAGCGTCTGAATTTGAACCATGTGACCACGGATGCTGCAATGGTCATAACTGTGAAAATAAGTCACTTTGCCGTTGTAACTTTGAACAGTCGCTAAGTGAACTGTTGTAAGTCAAGGACTACCTGTACTAAAAATGCATTTGCGGTCAGAGGAGCCATAAACAAAAAAGAACATCCATCTTACCTGAGCAACGAAGAAATAAATGCCACCAATTAAAATGACCGCAGCTCCAAGAAGTCTTAATAAGTCCTTGGTGGTCATTGTCGTTGGAATAAAAAGCTGTAAAGAGAGGAAGAGAGCAGGCTAAGGACAGAGACTTGGGGGTTGGAGAAATGGCAGAGCCTTCAGTTTGGTGTTCCTCAACTTTGGCAGCTTTAAGAAGGGTGGACTTCCGCTCCCAGAATTCCCCAGCCAGCCTGCTGGGGGAAGTTAAAGTCCACAAGTCTTAAAACGTGCCAAGACTGGATACCCCTGGTCTAGATCTTAGACCTTTCCCGTGAAGTATTTTCTAAATCTAAGATATAAGTACAGTGAGAGCTTATGCACTGGAGAAAAACTACTTGGGGTTCCAATCACACTTGGCCAATATTTTTTTATTATTATTCTATTTCTATTATTTCTATTTTAAATTTATTTGACATACATTTAAAACAGATAAATCAATATATGTATGTATGTATGTATGGCATTCAGCTTTGTTCGGGTATTTTCCCACGTCATTGTAG